ACCGCGTTGTTCTGTCCCTAAAACCTCGAAAGCTTACTAGACTCCCTCTTCTCAACATTCAGTCTTAATTTATACCTTAATTTGGTGCTTGATCTAACTTTCTGTCTATGTATACATAATTTCACATTACACTGTCCCATCCACCGCCAAAGGTCTGGGTTATACGAGTACGCAGGTATATGCGGTAAGTTGTTGTCATATGCTGAGGTATATGGTATATATGCACTAACACATAAGTCCTCGAAGATGGACGAGTCGAGTTGATTCGCACCTCTAAAAAGCATTTACATTCATTCATTCTATTTATACACTAGCGTAGATCCCTTTAAAAGAAGTATATGAACAAAACTTTCTCATAGAGTTTTGAATTATTACATTTTGAGGACATTTAAGAAGGTATCGTGACTGGTGCTTCGGTTACTTTCGCACCGCGATGTGATGTAATTGAACAGTCATAATGTAAGCTCACCGGAAGGTGGCTGTTAGCTAGCTCTATAAAAGAAAAGCAGGCACGGTGCCTGGTCAGTGCTTGGGTGACGTTCACGCCGTTCAGTGATGTGATTTAACAGTCATAATGTAATCTCGCGGGAATCTGGCTGTTACCTGGNATGTGATTTAACAGTCATAATGTAATCTCGCGGGAATCTGGCTGTTACCTGGCTCTATAAAAGAAAAGCCTCACGGTGCCAGGCCAGTGCTTGGGCGACGCTAGCCCCGATTATTGCTAAATGAAGATTTAAACAAATTACTTGCGACCGAGCAAGAGGAAGAAAAAGCGAGCGCGAAGCATTGCCTTGCTTGATATAATTTCGTTTTCGCTCATGTTAATCAGGTTAAGGATTTCAATTAGTGACAGTTTCTGGTTTCACTTGAGTGTGGTAGTCGCCTTCATTATATTTACACGCTCCCCACCTCTATTTTGGTCACCTTAACAAACACAAAGGGCGATGTGACATTCCAACGAGTTCACCACCAAGACAAGAACACTTCTCTATGAGCTTCAAAGTGGGTTCTATGTTGGCCATTAAGACCATTCATATTTCTCGTTAAAAGTAATTGTTAATTTTGATGGCTGTCAAGTAAATAGTCAAGATAGTATAATGCACACACATATGATTATTGAAGACGTTTGTAAACATCATTAAAACACATAATACATATGTACGCACAACAGTAGTAGCATTGTTAGCACAGTGGACATCTGCGGGGATAAAAGAAAATTGAGTTTCTTATTAGGAATAACGAAATCCCTAGTCAATACAAACTTATTTCAAGAGCAGAGCCCAAATATGCGCACTTGGGAGCCTATGTGAGTGTGTATCGATATATTTAAATATACTCGTAGCCCAACCCGCCTTTTCCACATAAAAGCACAATGAATGTAGCCCAGAACATTAACACAAGTTGGCAACCCACAAAAAACTTGTTGAAAAGTGCACACATACCGCCACATAGAAACGTGCATAGACTAATGTCCAAGCCATTAAAGGATAGAACAAGAAAATTTACTTGTTGGACTTTATTGATCAATTTGCATGTGCCCATTTTATTTGTTATTTTCCATAGACCAAACTTTCTTCGTCGGCCTGCTCCTCCACCGTTCAACTTAATTAATAGAACTTTAGAGTTGTGAACTTGTAACGATTGTTACTGCCAAGGCCTACACATACTTCCTAACTAATTGAAGCATTTAAAGATATTTCTGTCGGGAATAAATAAAGCTCTGCAATGTAATGATGTTCAGCGCAGTCTGACGAAATGTTTCTTAACGTGTGGAAGCAAAACGCCGAGGGCAAAAAGCTCAGGCAGCGTGGCAAATTGCATCACCCGCAGCGTTTTCACTCCAAAGTGTTGAATCCCGGTTATAGCAAGGATGTAGCACAAAGATTGCGCCTTGCCATTGTGGACACCTTTTGGGAGTACACACAGACAACTAAAGTAAGTGGCATATGGCTACTACGGCGGAACAGAACCCATGGAGTTTCCAGGTATGTATTATCGTCACACCGCCATGCATATACTTATATACATACATACATACTATTATATATGTCATCGTAATAAAACGATCCAATAATCAACTATGGCAATAGAAATTTTATGAAACAAGATATATACGCTTTGCTAAATTTATATATGGGTTAGGTCTTTAAATAATACTCTTAGTGGAGTTGAAAACGTAGAATGAAGGATATAACTACAAAGCATTTCCGATATAGAAAAATTTCGTGTCAAATTCATAAATATTCCGCTCGTCGAATATGTATCTTACGAGTACATATTATACATGTTTGTATATATAAATATATTGGAGCTGATTCAAGTAGGAAAAGTAACGAATTATGTAATCAGGAAAAGTAGTAGCAAAAGTGTTTTAGACAAAATAATATAACCATTCAGATTTTAAATGTCGTTTCAGTTGAATTTTAATTTTTCATAACGTTATTTTTTGCCTGTTTGAAAACCAGATGGATTTGGTCGAGTGTGCTCATCAATCTATTCCTGCTCGGAATTTATTTGTCTCTACAATTGTGGTTAAAATTCTATTCGTACCCCATCTTGAACACTATATCCAGTGACCTGGCCATAACCGACGTAGCATTTCCGGGCATTACCATTTGCAGTCCCAAGGTGGTAAACCGCGAGCGTGTACAGCGTTATATAAAAACATTGTGGGTTTTAACAACATCATATAATACAGGAAGAAGCATGGATGCCTAAAAGATTTCAGAAGATTTAGAATTTTGTGTAACGTGCGAACATCTGGTATTTTCCGTTTGTTTGCTTATCTTAATGATTTCTTGAGGGTATCCATGCTATTGAACTTAAATAAGAGTATATCGTTACCTGAAATGTAAAATAACGTATCATCAAAAAATTCGAAATTGAGTGTCTTATTGATTACGATTCACTACTCCAAATTACATACATAATATTACATATGTCCAACATTTTCAGGTTCTGCGGTTAGGTATAAACCAGTTTTAACCAATATTAAAMATTTTTTTCACTCATTTTCCATTTTATTTCTTGTTTCATTCATGCCACTATAAATTTCCGAAAATGTTGTTACGTTATTTTGCATTTCMGGTGACGAAATATAGGTAAAAGCTGGCATATATGTACATTATGGTGTAGTATATTATTTCCCATTTTGATTTTTTAATGCAAACGCTCTCTTAAGTTTCAGTTTTTGTCTCAATGACAAGTGACAATTAGAGACATGTGACAATCGTCTCAAGCAGAATACCGATATAAGTATATAAGTACACCATGTGGTATGAGCAACACAGAATGTATTGTAAATGATTTGTTGAATGATCAGTTCGATTGTTGTTGTAAATAAACATGGAAAATAACGGACACCCAAATGTACATACATACATATGTACATATATACCTGTCTCTTATACACATCTAGATGTGTATAAGAGACAGTAAGTACACCATGTGGTATGAGCAACACAGAATGTATTGTAAATGATTTGTTGAATGATCAGTTCGATTGTTGTTGTAAATAAACATGGAAAATAACGGACACCCAAATGTACATACATACATATGTACATATATAGTACATATTTATATATATTTTATTACACATATGTGTATATAATATTATTATTTTTGACAGGAAAATTCCTGCTGGTATCGACCCACAAGACGTTGCCATTGGTTTGGAGTATATAAACGCCTTCACTGATCAGAATTGGAAATCACCACCACAAGACAGCTTTAAAATTGCTGATGAAGTGCTGCGACTAAACAACTTGACAATTTACGACGTTGCCAAAGCAGTTAGCGGTAGTTGTAACGATTTTGTTAAACGTTGCTACTGGGGCATTGAAGAGTTCCCTTGCCGTCAGAAACACGAGTACCTGTCATTCATATCTACCACGTCATTTTTAGGTCCTTGTTGCTCATTTAATTATAATCCAAAGAATCTCTCCTACGTCCCTTTTTCGGCTAATATTTTCGGCATAGATGGGGGCTTAACTATTGTTGGTGTTGAGGGCTCCGAACGGAATCTTTCAACCGGCTTAATTGTGTTGGCGCATCACCCCATGGACTACGTAACGGAAGCAACATCCTCAGTAACAATTACATCGAACTCAGAGAGTTTTGTTGAAATCTCACCGACTGTACAAAGCTCCTCAACCGAAGTACTGGAATTATCACAAGGAAAGCGTGATTGTCTAATTTCAGATGACCTCGAGTTGCATAGTTATCGCCAAGCAGCTTGTTCACTCGCTTGCCGCACAGAAGCTATAATGAAGACATGTCAGTGCGTACCGTATCACATTCCGAATGCGAAGGCCGATTATCGAGAGTGCAAATTGAATGACAGTGTGTGCTATTCCAAAAATTATGGTTTGTATTTGTTTTTCTGTCTCATATATTTGTGGATTCGTCTTAATTTGCACGTGTATCCTCTGTTCTAGATATTTTTAAAAGCGTCAAATGCGAAATTTGTCTACCAAACTGCTATGACGTCACTTACTCAACTTTAGCCTACAAAACCGATCTGAAACTACATAATTGCTCCGTCAGCACACATTAGTAAGTTAAATAACGTTAACTAAATGCTCAGCTCATAAAAAAACTCAATTTTGCGTTCACATGTACATATCAACAGTACGACTACCTTTGATACTCAAGATATATTTATCGTTCGTGCCTATTTGACAAAGCAAACAGTACCGGCTATACGCAAGGTGGTGGTCATGTCATGGATCGGTTTGTTATGTGTGTAAATTTATATATTTTAGGTATAAGAGCAACTAACACGAATATCTCTGTTCTCTTTCAGCGGATTTGGGAGGAGTGTTTAATTTGTGTCTCGGAATCAGCATGGTATCCCTAATAGAATTCGGGTACTATTGCACACATCGTTTATACACCAATTATAAAGCACGTTGCGTTCTACTTCAGCCGCTCAATCGTGGAAATGGTGAATGTAATGGATTTCAAATACGATCCAAATAAAATGTTTTATAATATCTTTGACAGGATAACAACTTTTATTTTGTAATTATCATAACCTCTAATTTTAAATTATTTATACATTTTTAAGCCTATGTAAAAATAGATCCATCAATTCACTCTTTCTTCTTTTTGCTTTTATTAAAGTTTTTATCCCCTTTTCGTTTACTCCCGTTTTTTTTAGATTTTTCTTCTCCTTTCTCAGCGTCGCTGACATCATCGTCGTCACTAATGCAAAAAATAGGTCTATTAGTTAAATTCTCTAACAAAAATACTTGACTTACCAAATAGTTTGCATATTTTCAAACATATCCTCGTACTCCTTATCCTCTGGAACAGTAGGTTTTAAAATTTTAATTTTTTTGGTCGAGTTTTCGGTTTTATCCAGGTCTTCCTCAGTTGCTTCAGTTGTACTGCAGTTGGGGTTTTCGGCCGACTGACGTATTAAAACGCGTGTAGCTTTTGATTTAACATAGCATTGATACAGCAGTACTGTGGAATCAACATGATGCACACGCACATAACGATCCAAAGAGGCTGAAGCTAGGTATTTACCCGTAGAGTCTAATGACACATCACTGATGGCACCAGTACATCCTTTGTAAGTGTGTACGAAAGTCTTCATGCGCCTTATATCAAATGCCTGCAAATATGATATAGATAACAATACTGATCATACCTCGTTTTTCTGTATCTTACCTTCATAGCGCCCATAGTAGTACCTGCGTATATATAATTTCCATGTGCGCCCAAAGTAGCAAAACTCATTTGTTCTTCGGCAGCAAAGCACTGCACTGGCCGTCGTTGTTTACGTGTGTCATAAAGCCGCACATAACCATAACGAGAACAAGTAGCCAGCGTATGTGGTGAATCGATAAATCCAACGTCGCTATCCCACACGGGTACCTCCAACTGAAGGTAGTCGTTTGGCAAATTTTTCGAAGTGAATATTTGTTTTCCATCTGCTGCCATATCGAAAACCTTTAAATTGTTTTGACGACCTTTACCTCCTGTGGCTACCAGATTTCGATTGGTTGGACATTGCCGCAAATGTGACATGTCGTCGCCACTATTAATAATGAGCTCTGAATCAGCGCTGCTCTCAATGGATATTCGTTGCACTTGACCATTAGAAAATCCGGCGGCTAAGAAATCATCAAAACGTGCAAAACCTACTACGTGCGCAAATTTAAGTTTGATTGTGCGCTCTACTGTGTCACTGCGGAGAGAATGCATATGGACACTTTCTTTTGCCCGCCCAATAAAAATCTCTGAGGTATCATTCCCAAAAGAAAGCGCAGTAACCCTATCGTCTTTCTCAAGCTGATTAATATCGTATAGATTACGTTGAACAAAAGGATTCTCCTCAAAAGCAGGAACAAGCCCTGAGAAATATGAAAATAATAGCAAGGAAATTTTTTTGTATTAAGTGGGAGTCAGATGAAAACATTTTTGTAAATGCAAACTGTGAATATGCTTCGTGTATGGAAGAAAACTTAAATTATGTTAAATATGTTTTGAAGAGGTAGACTTATGCGTTTTATGAGTATGAATTATGTATATACATATTTAAAACATTAATGCTAGAAATATATTTGTACATATGTGTAATTTTAACTTACTTTTGAACGTGCCGGTACTAGTGCCAACGTATAGTTCGTGATTTTCTGTATAGCTTGGACTTTTTAAATTTGCTGTAGACCACTTCATTTTTAGTCACAAACTTATAGAATACCCAAAAAATATCTAAAAATTGTAAATAATAAATTTACCCCAAACAAGTCGAAATACCGCGCACGTGTATAAACAGAACAAAACAAATGTACAAAATATATTGACAATTTCTAAAATGAATTGTATCGTGTAGAAATGAACTGAATGTCAAAATCATCTGTTCCTAAGGATGAATTATTCAACATTCGATTCAAATGTTTATTATTACGCATATAATAGTAATTTATTAATTTCATAATAATAAAACACTCATTTTTTCAATATATGTAAATTTGAAATTACAAAAACATATCTCTAATAAACAACAATTTGTAAATTTTAATAAAACAAGTTCCGTCGGTATTGCAAAACCAACTTAGAATAATACATCCCGTAGAAAGTTTACAACTTTATTTAATGAATAATAGTTGATACGAAATACCCAATAGTTTTATAATATTAGCGAAAATGTCATTGACAAAGGTTTACGACGCGCCAACAGTTTTCAGATATTTGAACGGTATTATGAATATTTACAAACCTGCTGGAATGAAAGTTAGTCACGTAAAAAACGCAGTTCTTCACAACGTAGTCCAAGGTATAGATAATATAAAACAATATATTATAATATAAATTGTGCAAATATCAATGCCGATTATTTTTATAGATTTGAATGATATGGAAGTACGAGAACCTCGTAGACTGGAAACACCGCTTTTAGAACCAGGAGGTGATGCAAATCCTTTGTTGCGTAAAATCCAGTCCATTGATTTAGCCGACCATGTGTTAGCCACAGGGCCAAGATATCAAATATCAGACATACGTTGTGCACTAGTCGCCGGATTGGGTATACACACGAGCGGTGTACTATGTAATTATAAATTACACTTAATTCTTTACAAATTAATTCTTTAATGATTATTTACTTTATAGTATTCGGATTGAATAAGGGCATACGCCAGTCGCAGCTCATTCAACGAAATCGTCCGCTGCGTGCTTTTCATATAACTGGTCGAATGGGTGTCGCAACTGAAACACATTTCGCTGATTCCCGCATAACGGTTAAATCCGATCATCGGCACGTGCGTCCAGAACGTATAAGTGCTTTAGCAGCATCGTTACAAGCATCACACCAACGTAAAATGTACGAACTCTGCGGAGTAGATTTACAATCACAAGCAGCCTATGAGATTGCTTGCAAAGGATTAATCCGTCCAGCGGATAATTCACAACCAATTATATATGGTATCAAATTAATAGATTTTAAGCGTCCAGAATTTACAGTGGAAGTGCATGCGATCAATGAAAGTGAGGAGTATCTGGCCTCTCTGGTGAATGAGATGGGCATTGAATTGCGTACGGTCGCGTACTGCACGTCCATACGCTGCATACGACATGGGCACTTCGGTGTAGAAAATGCGCTGCTCCGACATGGTTGGAGATTACGAGGTGTAATGAAAAATATGAAAGAGCAACGGGAAGTATTGGAGCAGCATCCACATCTCTTAAAACAAAATAAAATAGAACTCAGAAGCGATTAGAAAAAATAAATTGGTTTATTGTTATTATTAAAATGCTAACTTATTTAATACAATAAAGATAAGTTGTATAAATATATATAAATATTTGCTTCCATTGAACTTCAATTCGTGCATATCATCTATCGCATCCACACGTCTCGCTATGGATATTAATGATATTATTGTTAAAGAGCGATATTTAATTTTTTAAGAGAGGTTATTGTGAGCGAATAATTTTTAGTTAAGCTCTTAAGCTTTACGCCCTCGTTTTTCAACAGTAGAGCATTCGACAATTTTCAGAATTCGTTTTGAAAAACTGCCATTCGATCCACGCCACATTGGTGTCTACCGTCAGTAGAGGAGAAACAGCAGCCCAGTACAGTCTCTTTCCGATAAGCATATTGTGTTAGCAACTAGTGACTACTACTACGAAAATACGTATTTAAAGCATGTCTTAATTATACATATATTTTGAATGAAAATTATCAAATTTTGGTCCAGATAATATCAGAACTGCATGGGAAGTGTCGAAGTGCAGTAATAATTATAGTGTGCTAAAAATAAAATATCGGTGTACAAACACATAAATATATGTATATGTATGCATATGCAATTATACCCATATAAATACTCTGAAATGATGCTAATATAAACATTTAGTGAATGAATCGAAAATTATATGAAGACTAACGAGAATAAATTTAATAAAAAAATAATAAAATTTGTAATAAATAGTACAATATTCAAGATTGTTCAAACATGTCTACCTCACCTCCTGATTGTCTCACGACAAATAATTGTGCCGTGTGCCAAACACCTGCTAAGTTATATTGCTCAGCATGCAAGCTAGTAAAATATTGCGGCGCTGATCATCAGAGGCAGCACTGGAAGCAACATAAAACCGAATGCCGGCCATTTCGCATAGCCAAAGATAAGGTTTTAGGCCGCTATTTAAAAGCCACACGCCAAATTAAAGCCGGTACCGTTATTTTTGCTGAAATGCCTATTATTGTCGGTCCAAAATGGTATCTAAATGAGCGCGAGGAACAAGTGCCTGTTATGCCGTGTGTGGGTTGTTTCACACCTTGCAGAATGGGAGCACATCATTGCCCCAAGTAAGTCAAAAGCAACAAATACAATATACGAGTACATATGGTATACAGTAAACAAGTCAAAATTTTGATGCGTCAGTTAATTTTTGCCTTCCGCCAAACGGAGCTTCCGGGCAACGGAAGTAAAATTGTTAGGCGTTTTTCTGATGGAAATTTATACATTTTTACACTATTAAGAATAATTTGTCCTATGTTGACCAATTTCAGATGCCTTTGGCCAACATGTTCACCGAACTGCGGTGGGTTAAATAACCCTAATCTTCATGGTCTTGAATGTTCTATATTAATGTTGGGACCTGGACCCGCTTCCTCGGATCCCCGCTCACTCATGGACTACTATCGCTCTGATGCCTTGGTTGTCTTAAAATGTTTGTTGCTACAACGTCAAAATCCCAAAAAATGGACAGAATTGATGGACATGCAAAGCCATGAGGTGGAACGCATTGGCTCCGAGTTACACAAGTAAGCGAAGTTTTTTTCCAGAGCATAAAAACTATAAATACAACCACACTATCTCTCACTCGACAAATGCTTAGCGATGCAGAGAAAAGAGTTGTGTCTTATCTTCAACGAAACTTCCTACAACGCCTTAAAAGTGTGGAGCAAAAACAAATGGAAAAATATCTGCAAGAGTATGACACAGCGGTACTACATCGAATTTGCGGTATCATTGAGACGAATTATATGTGCATCAGCTTGCCGTCGGGCATGGAGTTAAGTGGTGTTTACTACACCGCCTGCATGATGGAGCACGCTTGCCAACCAAATTGTTATTTTCAATTCGATCAGCGCAAGAGCTTCAGAATCTCTGTCATAGCCGGTAGAGATATTGAACGTGACGAACACCTGATTATCATGTACTCGAATATGCTGTGGGGCACTCAGATGCGTCAGGAACACTTGGCAATGACAAAACATTTCCTCTGTAAATGTGAACGCTGTACCGACCCTACCGAGTATGGTTCGAATTTCAGTACAATGCTATGTATGGGCGATGAGGGCGAGTCATGCGATGGCATTCACTTGCCAAAGGATCCACTTAATATGAAAAGTGATTGGGCATGCACCAAGTGCCCTATCATGATCAGTGGGGAAGAGGTTAGATGACATTCATATTTATTTATTTTCCATCTACTTACTAACTTATAATCTTCTCATAAACCCACACACATATGTGTATAGGTGCGATATCTTCTCACGCAAATGACCGAGGAAGTTGATAATCTACTATCACGCAAGCCCACAGTTAAGCAGTTGGAAGCGCTGATTAACAAGCTTTCGAAGTTTTTACACCCCCATCACTACCATTTATTCAATTTGAAACACACGCTCATTCAGCTATACGGCACCGAAATCGGCTACGCACTGAAAAATTTAAGCGACTCACTTCTGAATAAGAAATTACATTTATGCGAGGAACTCTATGACATTTGCCAGAAACTGGATCCATACACTATTCGTTTGTCTATTTACGTAGGTATTATTTTGTTTGAAATGCAAACGGTTCAGATTGAGCAGGGTAAGCGCCTGCTTGCAAATGCCAGCAAGAGCGAAGAACAAGTTGCTACGGCATTGAATTATTTCAATTCCGCTCGCGAGAATCTGCTGAAAGCCGCTAAGATCTTGGAGAAAGAACTAGACAACGTAGCAGGTAGCAAATTGAGCGATGCTGTATTGAAATCACTCACCGAATTGGATACGCTAATCAACAATTATAGCTAATTGGATTTTTTTACTCATGCAGTGAGCGTTTTTCTATATTTGTATAAATTTTTTAAAATGAATGTCATCTTAAACGTCATCTCAACTCATCTTTTTACCATGTTGCATTCGCATTTCTTATTTACTTTCATAAGCATAATATAAAGTATAAGAAAACAAAAATAACAAATTGTAATGTCTGTCTTGCGTTTTTAATTAAATTTAAATCTTGTTTACATAAGAGTCTTGAGAGTTTATTTAAATACAATGAATATAGCTTTTTCATTCAGCATTAGTTAAATATGTCAACTGGTTCTTGAGGGGCATCCAAGTCCCTGTATTGTGTTAATTGACGATACTTATTAGCGGGTCTGTAAGCATATAAACATAAATAGAATTGTTTTATATTTAACATACTTCACTTTTGCTTTGTGGTTTATTAAAAATTACTTAGTGCAGTAAATTAAAAACGAAAATCAGGAAAAGTGAAAATTAATATTGACTTCAAGCAATAGTATGCGAAAGGCTTTAAATATTTTGAGTACTTTCTTTCCTTGGCAAATATTTTACAGAAAACAAGTTTAAACTAAACACAACCGCTAAGATAATTTAACTATTTATAAGGAAATCATAAATTGTACACGGTATATAACTATTCGCTGAA